TGGGGTGGTGGGGGGGGCCGCAGCCCAGGGGGAGGAAAGCTGTGGTTGGACAAAGGTAGGGGCAGTGAGGGCGTCGGGGGCCGGTGGGTGAGCTGCGCGGACGAGGAGGAGGCAGATGAGGAGGAAGAGGACGAAGAGGATGATGAGGGGGGAGGCTGAGCCACGGGAGGGGCCGGGGCCTTGGGGGGCGGCCGTGAAGAGCTGGGGAGAGAAGTGGGGAAATGAGTGAGGGGTTGGGAGGTGCCAGCTCTGACAGGAGTGGGTCAGAAGCCTGGGCGATACCTTGACCCTGGTTCTCCAACATGGAAGGTGGTAGAACCCGGCCCCCAGGATGTCCACCCCCGCCAAGGAACCCATCCTCAGACTGAGGTACCTCCCACAACCGACAACCCCCTCTCCCCTCTCTAGGGCTCATCTTCCACACAGCTGCCTCTGATGTCTTTGGCCACATGACTTTCCCTTTTCTGATTCAACCACAGCACAAAACATATCATTCATTTTGACGCTTAATTACAACAGGCCACCTGGGTCCCTACCCTCCTAAGACAGTGGAAGCAGCACCCTGCTGGCCTGACCTAGGAGTTCTAGGTCCAGCTTGCCATGAACGTCCTGGGTGACCTTGAGCAAGCCACTGCCCCTCTCTGAGCCTTAGTTTTCTCAATAAGAAAAGAAATAACAGTGATGACAATAACAGAGATAGCGTGAATAATAATAGTATCAATAACTCTTACCCTTCAGTGAGCACTTACTGTAGACCAAGTGCTGTCACTTGTTTTATACGCTAACCCAAGTCTCCAGCATTTCATACCACCTTCCCAATCGCTGCCGCATCCATGTAACCACCTGTACCTTTTCCTTCTTTAACATAACTCAGTTTTCCTTTTTAACTTAGCTTCACCCAAGCCACAATGTGTGAAATCAAGGAGTGAGATACTAGTCATATTTTTCTAAAGCACGTACAAACTGAAAAAAATGTGCTCACATGACATCTGAAATGATCTCACACATCACTAATGGTGAGTGTACACACTTTGGGAAACACTGCATTAACTCACAATTCTCACAACAGCTTTATGATGAAGGTACTATTATTATTTCATTTTACAGAAAGGGTCATTGAGGCTCAGAAAGGTTAAGTGACTTCTAGAACATCACACAGCCAGGAAGTGGCAGAGCAAGAATTTGAATTCAGGTCTGACTGACACCAACGCCAGCACTCTTAATCATCATGACAGCATTTCCCAAAGTATGTCCTAAGAACACTAGTTCCAGCAGAGGTGCCTTGCAAAGAGGTCTCACCAGCACATAGACTGAGCAACGGCACAAGCTGGATTCCCCTGCATGTGAATGCGTAAAGCGTTCTGATGAGTTCTGTGGTCATCTCTTTAAGTTTGTGTCACCCGGTGTCTTTCAAACTTTTCAGTCTCAGAATCCTTTTTCAAATCATATCCCCAAGGTACTCTCCCATGTCCCAGCCGCGGAACGCAGGGGTTACCGCCAAAAGGACCAGGCCTTTCCAGACCAGACCAAACCCCTAGACCACTCACCTGCCAGTGCTGAGGTCCAGGCTGCTGCCATGGGGAGAAGTGCGGAGGCCAAAGGGTGAGACCCGAAGCTGCAGCTGGGGTGGGGGTGGCAGACTGGGGGTGGCCGGCAGGGGTGCAGGGGGTGAGACAGGAGGCCGAGGGGCTGGTGGAGGTGGTGGTTCCTTTGGGGGAAAAGGCACTAGCAGCGGATCGGGCCCTGGGGGCTGCTCCTGGCTCCGCTCCAGGCCCGACACTTTAGGGACTATGGAGAGTTTGGCTTCACAGTTCCCATTGAAGGCGCCATGAGGGCCCGAGGCTGTGAGGGCAGAACAGCAAACATTCGATTAAGACCCACGCTTACCCCAATTCCCCCCTTGTCTCCAGCCCCAGCCCTTGGAACCAACCTTTGCTGGTTGAAACAGTAAAGGATGGGTCGAGGTCATCGTCGGAGACCTGGGGAAGAAGGGAGGGACAGGGTCAGGTTCCGGTTAGGCCAAGCCCTTACCCAGGAAGGCCAACAACTTCTGAGCCTACTAGGAACTGGCAGTGGTGGCAAGTCTATTCCATCACCTCAGCTGAAATCCATCAGAGACTATACTCTAGGGCAGCGGTCGCCAACCTTTCGGACCTCACGGACACCAGTGGTCCGCAGACCACCTGTCGGCGACCGCTGCTCTAGGGGGCCTATGCTTGAGGAAAGAGGGTGGAGCAGCTGAGCCTAAGAATCTGATAGACCAGGAGGCCTAAATGGCGGCAGCACTAAAAAAGCAGAGAAGCAAGGAAATAAAAACAAAAAGGTATCACTAACTGCTGGCCAATAGGCCTACCTGGTTTATTTGTCTGGTTCATAAGTTTTAGCAAAAATTACAAACTCATTGCTGATATTTAGAAATCCAGATTCCTCATAAAAATTCAGACTTGCAGCTTCTCTTGAGAATGGGCCCCTGATCTCACATGGCAACAATGAGCTAGTATTAGATAGTGGCTGCCCCCTTTAAATGGATAAGAACTCTCTGGTTCATCACAGTCCCTGTCCAGCCAACTTTAAAAATTAAAACAAGACACATCAGGGAGTACAAATTTAGTTAGTTATAGGGGTAGAGTCCCAACTGCTAGGATCCACTATTTCAAAATAAGCAGATCAGCCTTATTAATAAACTGAAATACACCTTTATAGTGCGTGTCCCTACACTGACTACGAAGGTTTAGTAGCCTCAATGCCATGGCCACAGTCTCTGCTGAGACTCTCGTTATTAAAGACGAATGGCCAGGAGGAAGGGCCAGCCTGCTCCAGAGCCACGCTGGATGTCTGTGGAGAACCACTGGTCTACGGGCTTCAGAAATGATGGCGCAAGGCAGGGGCCTTCTATTCTCTGGTCACCTGGCTCTAGTCACCAAGGAGAAGAAGTCATTGACTCTCTCAACCCACCCGCCTCCTCCCAAAAATCCAATCCTGGCTCAACTAACTCACACTTCCCACCCAAGGGGAGGCTCTGTCTGCTGCACACAGAGCCGCGAGGCTGCAGCTCATTTTATAAGCTGTACCACCGCCCACCCAACCAGTTCTGGCCCCACTCACCCTCTCGTCCAGATCGCTTTCCGCATCACACTGGGGAGAGAGAGACAGGAGTCACCAAAGGGGAGAGGAGTGGGCCCAAACCAAGCGGGGCTTTCAGAGTCCGGGCGGGACCGTCCAGGCGGAGGCACTTACTATGTATCCGGCTTCCAGGGAGTGACGCGAGGAGACCTGAGGAAGACCAGAGTCCAGAGTAAGGGAGCTGCCTGGGAGGCCTTCGGATCAGGTCTGAACTCCCCAGCAGGCACCCAGGGCCCCGTCACCTACTCTCCATTTCCTTTTAGCTGCTTCGGCTGCTCCTGCCCACCCGTTCCCCACGCTCTGGCCACTGTCCAAACATACCAGACTCTCCTATCTCTGTGCTTTTGTCCAAAACAACTTTGCCCGGTTTCTCCTCTGAGCAAAACTTATGACTATTCTTCAAGGCCTGACTAAGACGTCCTAGGGGGCTTTCCCTAACCACAGCCTCTCCCAGCCCCGGGCAGAGTGAGTGGCTTCCTCCCGTGGGTTCCTGGGCTCCTCTGGGTTCGGTGTAGGTGTTTGCCTGCAGGTTGTTTCTTTCCCACTAGCCTGCCACCCCCTCGAGGGGGGCAGAGACCGATCTCATTCATTTATGACCCAACCGGGTCCTGTGCTGTCTGAGGCCGACCTGGTGCCGCCAGCAGCGGGCAGGCCTGGGGCACGGCCTTGTGGACCTGGAGGGGAGAAGGCCTCCCGCTGGCTCTGCCCTCATCTTTGTCCGGGAGATGCCACCGCTGTTCACAAGGGCAGTGGCTGGTTACTGGAAAACGGGTCTAGGGAAGGGTGTTCTGCCCAGAGTTTTAAAGCGAAAGGGACCCAGGAGGACAAACTCACCTCTTTCCTTCTCCGCTTATTGGGCCATTTTCGGGCGCGATCTCCGGAGGGCCGGCCGGGCTCCCGATCGGAGCTGTCCCCCGGCTCCCCGGCGGCCCCGCTGGAGCCCCCCCTCTTCCGCTTCCCCGAGTGCTTCAGCCGGTGCTCCAGGCGCTCGGGGGGCTGGAGAGAGGCATCCTTCTGCGGAGGAGGAAGTGGGGCTCCAGTCGACGGAGAAAGGAAGGCTCCGGCCGTCTGGGGGCGACCAGGCTCCCCCAGCGGCTCGGGGGCTCAGCGGCCGCCAGCTTCCGGACCCCACGGACCACCGCCGGTCCCCGGAGACCGGCCCGACCGCCTCCCACCCCAGGGCGGGGCAGAGGCCTGGCCAGAGGAGCCGGTTGCTCTGGTTTGGGGTGCCAACCTTCCCCCTCAACTCCACCCACCGGGCACCGTACCCTCCCCGCTGCCCCTGGGAAGCCCCCGAGGACCCGGCCCCTCAGGCCCCACCTGCAAGGCCTCGAGGCTGGCGAAGCTGGCGATGGCGAAGCCATCGATCAAGTCCTCCTCCTCTTCCTCCTCCTCCTCCGGCTCTTCCTCGGCCTCCCCGTCGTCC